GGGGGGGGGGGGGGGGGGGGGGGGGCGCCCGGTGTCCCTGCGGGGCCCTGAGCGAGGAGCGCCAGCCAGAGGCTCCGGGGGCCGGCAGGGGGGCCCTGGGGCCCTCCCGGCACAGCCGCCCGCCCCGGGGACACCTGTTGCCTGCGGCCCGCAGGGTTCTGGCTGCTGCTCTGGGAGCCCCCGGGGTCGCGGAGCCACACGCGGAGCGTCACAATTCGGGCACTTTGTGCTCCGCAGACGGACGAGGAGAAGCAGCAGGACCTGCCTGTGGTGATGCCGGTTTTCGACAGACACACGTGCAGCATCCCCAAGTCCCAGATCTCCTTCATCGACTACTTCATCACCGACATGTTCGACGCCTGGGACGGTAAGGCCCGGACGCTGGGGCGCAGGGAGCGCACCTGGCTCTAGAGCCTGTGTGCGGGCTTCGGCTTTCCGGGGGGCGGGGGGCGGGCCGGCCGCACCTAGCGCCCCCCGCTGGCCAACTGCCGCTCCCGCAGGGGTGGGGGCCGGGCGGCGGGCGATGGAGAGCCGTCAGGGTCACGGCCACAGGTGGGGACCCCCCCCCCGCTTCGGCGCTCCGTACGCTCCTGAGCAGATGGGCCCCCTCCTGCGTCCCCCCCGGAGCTGGAAGCCCCGTGTGGTCCCCGAGGGGCCGCGGGGCTCTGAGGAGGGAGTTGGCCTCGGGAGCCCCACGTCCCTCCCTCCGGCCGCTTGTCCTGGCGCGCAAACACCCGCCGTCACCTGCCCCTCGGCCTGAGCTGCTCCCCGGAGGCGGCGAGGGGGTCACATCCCCGTCTTTCTCTCCAGCCTTCGTGGACCTGCCTGAGCTAATGCAGCATCTTGACAACAACTTCAAATACTGGAAAGGCCTGGACGAAATGCAGCTGCGGAGCCTCCGACCACCCACCGAATAGCGCGTCGCCGCCCGCAGCTCGGCCCGTCCGCGCCCCCGGACCCGGTCCTTTCAGTATTAGGCCGAGCAGAGCCTGGGAACGCACGCGGGGACACCGCCGGCCTTGCGTAGCCACCGGCCGACGCCATCGCCACAAAGCGCGACCTCGTCTGCAGCCGGCCCGCCGCGGGGGCTCTCGGGAAAGTCCCGGGCGAGCCGGTTTGCGCCAGCTTTCCTCACAGCGACCTTGGCGGACCCTGCGAGCGACCTTGGCGGATTTCTTGTTGCACACAGCTGCCCCCGCCGGCCGCAGTGGGAGTTGCAGCAGCTTTCTCCTCACCCTGGGAGGTGCAGGCGCTCACTCTGGAACACTACTGAACGTGACTTCTCTTTTGAAACGGAGTAGCAAATGAAAAATACCAAGAAATTTTGAAGTTGATTATTAGATACAAAGAAATTTCGAAGTTGATTAATATCCATTAAAATGGTTTATTTATTTTATTAGAAGTTCAATATTTTCTATGAATTTTAAAATACTTCAAAGCCAAAGCCAACTTTAAATGCCATGACCAAATTCACGTGATTCATATGCGTTAAATGTGTATTTCTTGGGTGTACAGACTTATTTTCATAATGCAAATTAAAAATATAAAATGACACATTTTTACTGCACTACAGAAATATCTGTGTATGTTAAACTCTTTTCTGATTGAAGCTAATTGAGAAAAGCCATGGGGAGGTGGGGGGGGGCCAAGGAGATGCATGCCTGGGTTGTCTTTAACAGATTCTTGGCCATTGTCTGGGCTACTGGGCATCAATAAATGTGACTGGAGTTCAGGGGGGGGGGGGGGGGGGGGGGGGGGGGGACCTGAGTCTGGAGCAGGAAAGGAGAGAGAGGCTCCTGTATAGAAACCAGAGTCTGAAACTGCCCTAATCATCTGACGGGCTTTGTACTCCCCGAAGTACACGAAATTAAGACCTAACACTTTTTTCCTAAAATTTTATAATTGAATTCCCAAAAGTCTGCCTTATTTTATAGTGTTTCTATAAGATACTCCCTATGAGAGAACAAAAATGGAATATTTAGTGAAATGACATTTTATAACCAATCTGTTTTCATCTGAATTGGGATTTTGATTCCAGAAGTTTATAAAGGTTCTGTATCTTCCATTTTGAGTAAGTGTAGCACCGTAAAATATGACACATGAGGACATGTCAAAGTGCTTGTCACTTCATTTTAAAGTTGTATTTTTTTCCCAGATAAAAATGAAATTAAACTATTTGTTTTTAAGATATCATGTGTCACCTTTTCTTGGGAGTTTTAGGGTATTAATCAGTATTTCATTTCTCCTCCCTCTAAATAAACAAGATACCTTTATATTTCAGAGAAGACTGATAGTTAAATTTTTCAGGGTCACAAAAGAGCAGATGAGATGTTGACAACCTCTCGCCACCTGACACCCATCACAGCTGTCAGGCCTGGCCTCCCAGAAGACCCTCTTCAGGGCACATGGGGGGCTCAGTCGGTAAAGCGTCTGACTCTGGATTTCAGCTCGGGTCACAATCTCACAGTTGGGGAGTTTGGCCCCTCATCAGGCTCTGCACTGACAGCAGGGAGCCTGCTTGGGATTCTCTGTCTCTGTCTCTGTCTCTCTCTCTCTCTCTCTCTCTCTCTGCCCCTTCCCCACTCATGCATGCTTGTGCTCGCATGCATGCTCTCTCTCTCTCTCTCTCTCTCTCTCTCAAAAATAAATACATTTAAGGTTAAAACATTAAAAATTACCAAGAAGAAGTCTCTTTTTCTAAGGAAACAAAACCCCTTCTGTGTGATGATATTTGACCTAAGTTGGTAACTGTGGACCAAGGTGGAAGAGAGCCCTCTCCTCTCCTCCAGGTGCCAGGAAAGAATAGGAAGTTACTCCCATGAGCAACTGAACCAGCGTGAGGTAGAGAGCAGAGCACGCAGTGTTGGGAATCCACACCACCCAGAACTAGGAACGCCAGAATGATCTGAAAGAGACTTTATGCAGAGCAGGCCTAACATGTTTGAAGAGACCAAAGCAGCAACAGAAACCACAAGGTGTAAGCCAAGATGGTTTTAAAAATAGGTGTAATTTGAAAAAGAACCAAGTAGACATTCTAGATACGAAGAATATAGTCATTGGAACAAACAAAACTTCTGACCGGTTGAGCAGAAGGCCAGCCGTAACTACAGAGAGAACCAGCAAACAAAGACTTGAAGTTCCTCCACACGCAGCACAGGGTTTAAAATGAAAGCAAAATTAAAATATGGAAGGTAAAATGAAATACTTCAAAATGTGTCAAATACAAAACAAACCGTGTCTTAATTAGGAGATCCAGAGTAAAGTGAGAGGCAGTCAGAATTTAACAGACAACACGTCGTCAGATTTATAGGGGACACTGAACCCCAAGGAGGATAAGCAAGACGCATCCACCCAGCACAATGTGGAGCTCCAAGAGGAAACCCTAACAGTTGTGAGAAAAGACCGACCCCTGACAAGGCAACCAGGGTTAGACTGATGCCATCAGACTTCTCATCTCCCACAACCAGAAGACAAAGGAATAACATTTGCAAACGACAGAAGGGAACTGTCAGGCTAGAATTACATACCTAACTAAACTATCACTCAAAAGTGAAGGTGAAATATGGACAATTTCAAACATGCACACAAAGTTCATTATAAACAGACCTCTCTGGAAAGAAATGCTGAAGGATGTACTCAAAATGAGTCCAGAAAAAAAGAGGTAGGTTTCAGGAAGCAACGGTAAACAAAGAAATTGGTAAATATCTGGGCAAAACTAAGTATATTGAGTGGGGCAAAAATTTCAGTGACGTATAATCAGGAGAAGGGACAATCAGGTAAGTTACATGCTGGGGATGACAAAAGAGATGTTTATTATACTTTCAATATGATTAGCTCAAAGTTAAGGGAAACTGTCAAAGGAATAAATACAGAATTTAAAAGCACTAAAAGGAAAGCTAAGAAATAAAACGTGACTAATGTAATCCATAGGAGACAAATGGAGAAAGGAGCTATGATTTAGACAATGAAGTGCCCAGTAAGCACACAGTATACACTAAATCAATTCTAGATTAAAGATCCACGTGTAAAAGATTATCCTTTTGAGGAATAGGGAAACGTTCTTAAAATGACATCAAACGCTTTAGAAAGCATATAAGAAATAAATTGTCTACAAGTTAAAAATTCTCTATGACAAAATACGTAAGTCATGCTAAAACCATGCCCCAAATAGATGACCTACAGAAGTAACAAATTAGTGTGTGTGTGAATAATATATACACTATATATAAAGAATGCTTAGAAGTCCATAAGCAAAAAGACAAGGTATTTTATACCCTTTGAGTTAACAAGGTTTTAGTATCTGACAAAATCAAGTATTGATGAAAGGATGAGAAAAAGTGAACTTTCAGACATCAGTGTCAGGAGCTAAGAACCACATTGATAAGCAATTTGGAATTATCCACTACCATTTCTCAATTCAGCAATTTTACTTCTAGATCCTACGGACATTTGCCAATGTGCATAAGAAGATCTATTAAAGGATCTCCACACTAGGATTCTGTCACAGCGAAAAAGTAGCAACAATTGAAATGTCCTTTGCAGGAGAATGGATACAGAAATTGCCACCTGATACTCAGACTGTGGTATATTGTGCCAGACCGTTTCTCCCAATGGTCCTGATATCCTGATACCCACAGTCTTGGGTTGGACCTAGTAGTTTGCTTCTAACCAATGAAATACGGCAAAACTGATGGGGTAACACTTCCAAGATGTGGCTACAAAAGACAGTATGTTGGTTTCCTAGGGCTGCCCTAACAAATTACTACCAACAAGCAGCTTAGAACAGTAAAAATTTATTTTCTCATAGTTGTGGGGACCAGAGGTCTAAAATCAAAGTGTTGACAAGGTGGTTCCTTTTGTAAGTTCTAAGGGTGGGACTCTACCATACCTTTCTCCAAGCTCTTGGTAACTGCCAGCAATGCTTAGCATTCATCGACCCATAGATGCATCATTCCAGTGACTGCCTCCATCTTCACAGGGCCTCTGTGTGTCTGTGACCTCTCCTCTTCTCATAAGAGCACCAGCCACTTAGCCCACTCTGAATCCAACGGATTCATCTCACAACCCTTCACTAATTCCATCTGCAAAGACTCTAATTCCAAATAAGGTCCCATCCTGAGGTTCTAGGGGATCTGAATGTTGGCAAGCACTTCAACCCTCTACAGATGGTGACATCCATCTTGCTCACAGTCTCTTGTTCTTATTTGCTTGCTGTGACGAGGCAGGCTACTCTGTTGTGAACTGCCCTGTGCAGAAGCCCATGTGGCAAGGATGTGAGGGCATCCTCCTGCCCACAACCATGACAGACCTGAGTCATGCTGGCAGCAACCACACAAGTGTGTTAGATGCAGATTCTGCCACAGGAGGGTCTCCAGATTAGACCACGGCCCCAGCAGACACCTTGATCGCAGTCTTATGAGAGACCCTGAGCCAGACAATGCAGGTAAGCCACACTCGGATTCCTATCCACAGAAGCTGAGGTAGTAAATGTTGTGTGTAAACCAGCAAACTTTATTACACACTAACAAATAACTAATACTATATATAGCAGTTAAAAAGAATGAAGGAGAGCTACAAATATCAACTGGGAAAAACTTAAGAACAGCACTAAATGAAAGGGTTAAGTTGCAAAATGATACCATTTGCACAAATTTTTTGAATATCCTGAACACACTACTGTTCATGGAAAAAGTAATAGAAGGAGCATTAAAATACAGAAGTTCACAAATACTGTGAATCGGCTCATGCAACCCTGAGCTCCGGTGGGCACACAAAGTAGAAAACTAAAATCTTTCCCTCCAAATGCCCTTGCTCCTACATTTCTGTGTCTCACTTAGGATCACCCGTCCGCTGCCACAGTGCAAGATTCCTGATTTAGAACGGAGTCCTGAACAAGGGAAGCACATAGAGGGATACTCCTGGAGTATTAGAAATGGCCGTCCACACCAGCAGCTCTGATGAAGGATTTCTGACTGTGGTAGAAGCGTTAACATTCTGAGGCCACCACAGCAGACTTCACAGCACAGCACAGCCCTGAAGTGTAGTTTTAGGGAGACTTTCTGGAAAACTCAGGCAACAGTCTGTTTCTTTAGCCCTTCTGCTGATAAATCCCTTCTGCTTCAACTGGCTGGAGGGGTGGGGTTCTCTAGTTTCAGAATTGAGGACTCTGACAAAGACCAGGACACATACCAACTTCCTGAGGGTGGTTCTTGGGGGCAGGGAAGGGATGTAAACCAGGGAGACATTCAAAGGGAACTACCTTTGTTTAAAAAAAATTTTTTTTAGGCACTCACGCCCATACATCACACGGAAAAGATCTGAAGCCATTGGAAACCTTACAAAACCTGAGAGATTGGGAGAAAAAGGACGCAGAATCCACTGAGAGAGTCTTCTAACGTGAGTGCGAACCGGGGAAGATAAAATCAGGCGGGGATCGGAGACTCCAGGGTGGGAGGCGATCCCCCTCTACCATCTACGGGGAGTGAGAGGGGAAAAAGAGTGTCCGAAGCAGAAAAACTTCTGCTTGGGGGGGAAAACCTCCTTTCGGGGCATAG